TCCTGCTGGTTTGTGCCAAAGGAACTGCCAAGGTTTCCAAGTTGGCACAGCAGGAAGTAGTTTCCAAAGACTGCATTTAAAGGAATGAAAAGGAAACACAGATGGAGTTGGCAGTGGTTGAGTACTAGCAACATCCCACATACCAGTCACTATCACAATAGACTGTGCTTGCTTATAATAGAAACGTCACACTCACTATTGCAATAAAGGGCAAAAGATCACATTTTCTCAGCAACTAAATATTATGTTTTGAATGGTAGAGGGATACAATTTTGCTGCAATGCAAGTATCTGCTTTCCCAAAGGTTTTTATATCCTGGAAAAAAACTTTTAAGTGACCATTTCCCATTTTTTTGCACTAGAAAACATTTGCTTATATTTCCAGCTTCTCATATTAGACAAAACAAGTTAAAATAATCCAATATGTGAGGACTATATGGTTAACAGTGAAGATAACTTATCTCCTACTGTGCTCTCTAAACTGTGAGTTACCAAAACATGGGCAATTCACTACTGTTGTCCCCTTGCCTGTTCAGCTGCTCACGTTTGGACAGGGACCACATTCTTTCAGTTTGCCATATAGAACCTGTCATGATCTTGGCTGTGCCACCAGAGGCCTACTAGGCCCAAGGAGCCTGGCTAGCAGTAGGTGAGGCTGGGCCTACAACTCCCAGAAACCCCTGAGAGGTTTTGGAGCCAAAATTGACCAATAGGGAAGAAGAGAGCTGGGGGAGAAAAGGGCTGGTGCCAGAGCAAAAGCTGTTCTTTTCCCCTGAGGGCAGAGCCAGAAGGAAGGCTGCTGCAAGGGAGAAACCCTCATCCTGCGGGAAGGGTGAGTAGTCTAAGGCCACTGCAGATAGTGAGCTAGGGACAGTATATTTAGACGCGTAAGGGCATTTGATTTCTTTTCTTTTCACCCACTTACTGTTATTATTTTGCACCTTGTTGTTTGACCTCCTATAAAATAAACCTTTTCCTTGTTTCACTCTGCCTGGTCCTCACGCTTCTTATTCGGCCAAAAGGGAGGTCTGAAGGTCTTGGGAGGTTGCTCTGGGCCTTCTCAAGGGAACCTAAATCCAGAGTGGTGGCAGCATCAGGTGACACCCCACCTGAGCCATGACAGAACTTAATCCATTTTCAGTGCTTAAGAAGAAAAAAGCTGTCATAGTTGATGTTCATAGATATAACATTACCTGATGCATTTGCATGAATACTGATCAGCTTTTCAAAATCTTCTCCTTCCCCAGAGTTCCTACAAAACAAAACTTTAAAATGACCAAGTCTGTACTAAAACTAACTAAAGGGATACTTATATAGAAATCGTTACTAATCAAATTAGTAATTCAAATTATCTGAAGACGTAAGCACTGACTCATGAAAGCTCATACTTTACCACAAATTTTGTTAGTCTTTAAGGTGCTACTGGACTCTTACTCTTTTCTACTGCTACAGACAGACTAACATGGCTACCCATCTTGACCTAATTAGATAAAAAAACTAACACATTTACAATGTTGTTAGTAGCCTGAAATAATTTTCCATATTTTTAATTCAGAAATTATGTTCTTTGTTCTTATCAGCCAATACTAGAGTTTTGCCAAAATGTCCTTAAGCAAACATATGTCTTCACAAGTATCTCCCCCCCATGATCACCCTGCCAGTAGTAACTAGCCAACTTACATCTATGTAGCTTATAACCCTTACCACAAGTTAAAGTACATCCACAATTCAGAGCATACCCTAAGCTTGAAAGTCAATAGCATTTATTATCAAGTAAATTTATTTAAAATTGGGATGCCATGATATTACTAACTGACAGTTATAAACATAAGACCATAATAAAAATATCCCAGTTTCCAAGAGTCATGGGATCATAGATGTAACCACACTGCTATGGAAGCGTGCCATGTACCTTCTTTTGACTGTCTTTTCAGTGTGGAGATTCTTAATACCTGTGGGGGACCATCTCTAAAGAAAAGCTGGATTTAAAAGTCAGCAACTTTAAACTGTTGGCTCTCATGCCACAGGATAACCTTCCTTCTCTCTCTTGTATGGGCAGACAAATAGTACAGCTTGTCTTCAAAGTAGCAAAAGCAACTTCTCTAAAAGATAATATTGTTTAGTATAAACAATATTAGTATAAAGGTACACACACTTCTGACAAAAAGATGTCTGGGGCTTGTTATTAAATGAAATTCTGAACTCTTCATTACTTTAATGCCCACAGTACCCTTCAGCTTTCTCTATAGGATGAATATGTCAGTTCCTACTCAAACAAATAAACAGTAATCTAGTATTAAAAACTGCACCATTTAGAAATCAGTGGGAGATTCAAAAAGGAGATTTCATAATACCTCCTACTGTGGTCAAACAGGGACTTTTGATTTCTGTCTCCCAATAGGCATCAAGTATCTCAACCAAATTCAAGAACTGCCAACCATAACAGATATTAACTTGTTAAATTTAGGTAGTAAATGGTCTCTGTATTTTTTTTTAAGTTATATAATTAATTTTACCCTCTAGTTTCTGCATTTCATGTCCCCTTGGCTCTGCAGAACTCTAACATAAATTACTGCACAGAGTAATATGGATACCAACCTGGACTAAATGACAAAATAATTTATCTAATAAAATTGCCATGAAATCCTAAGAAGACTTTCCTGGGAGTAAGGCCCACTGAATAGACCTGAGCAGGATTCTTAGCAGCCCTGACCTGGATGCCCCAGGCTAGCCTGATCTCATCAGATCTCAGAAGCTAAGGTGGGTTGGCCCCAGTTAGTACTTGGGAGACCAGCAAGGAAGTCCAAAGGCAATGACAAGCCTCCTCTGAATGTCTCTTCCCTTGAAATTCTTATGGGAGTGCCATAAATTGGCTGCGACTTCACAGCCCTTTCCACCACCAGGATTCTTAGCAGACTTGCTTAGGGTGGCTCTTTCAGCCTCCTGGAAATTGGTTCTTAAATATTGTTAAGAAATGGTCAATGACACAAAATACGTGAGCAGAAATTCAGTGTTGGTCGAGCTCTGTCTTAGTTCTTAGCTAAATACATGAGGCTTGTTGCATTTATTTGGTGCTAAAGCCATACATTTACTTAACTAACCTGATTTCTTGTATTTTATGTTTTGATAGTGTTCTCTGCAGCGCAAGATATAACCTTTCATGCTGGAATAAGAAAAGACATGTTTTAAAAACTAAGAATTGGAATAGACATATTAGCACTCAAAAAAGACCAGTTGATTATTAGACATTTGAAAAATATTAGTTTTAAACAATGGATGTGAAAAATCCAAATACCATCGAGTCTCTGTTTCTCTCCTGTGGCAGACATTTCTATACATTAAATCCATTCTACATATTAGAAAGAAGTATGTAAGATGCACAAGCCCCAATCCAAAGAAACATATGTGTGGCACAAATGCTACACTTGAGGAGACAGCCAGGTTTCCTAAAGCTAGATGCTGTTACATGGCTAGGTGAAGGTTAGGTACCAGCTTTTAAATCTTCTCCAAACAGGCGATCAGTACTTTCAAGAATGTTATAATGTTATCATGGTTTCAGACTGTTCAGTCTCACAAAGAACACTTCAGCAGAGAGAAATGAGAGATCTGGTCAGGGCTGCCAGGTCTCTTGCTACAGTGTGAGATCTCCTCGTGGCAGCCCCTGACCCCCACTGCTGCACGGCAGGGTCAGCAGCACAAAAACTGTTGTCACATCAATGGCACAACATCAACGGCATGCTGTCACTTACGGGTTCGCCCTAGAAATAATATCATGCTGTCAGTGCAATGGCACCATACCACATCCTGCCCCCCATCCCCTGCCAGATGTCAGCCACAGTTGGCAACCCTAAAACTATTCTGCATATTTCCTACAACCCCTTCTATAGGATTTCCACCAATCATTCTCTAAGTGCAAACAGAATTTTAGGAAAAGTCCAAATACTCATTTGAAGTCCTTACCCAGCAACACCACTGATAATTGTAGGCTAGCAGCAGTGTTTTACTGCATGATCTACTCTTCTAATGTGGCTGCAAGTCAGCAACATCACCAACTGTTCTCTTAACAGTTTGAACTGAATTGAATAAGATGTGAATCTTATTCACATGCCATTGTGTGAAAATGAATATGCACTGTACTTGCATCACCACGTAGTTATTCAAGCCCAGTAATTAATAATTGGAATAAGAGCTCCAACAGGGGTAGAAAGCTTCTATGCACTGTCCTATTCACTTCAAGGAAGGAAGCCATTCTGTCCATAGAAACCACAGGAAGAGCACAGGGAAATCTAAAGGTGGATATCTTGCATATAAAATTGCAATAGCCTTTGCACAATCACTACATGGCTTAGACTTCTTTATATCAAGGTTGAAATGTTTTTGTTTTGTGCCTTTTGGTTATGTCAAGAAATCCAACTCATAGTCTTAAGCTATTGTGTCCAAGTGGAGGAAGGGGCAGAGCGGGAGGCTCTGGGCAATTGTGCCTACCATAGTTTCAGCCAGGCAGCTATTGCACTGCTTTCTGCAGCCTGCCCCCATTTTGGCCAGCTAGATGGCATGCGGGGGAGGGGAAACACACCTGATAGTTAGTAGCCCCAATGTGGTCTGCATTGCCTGTTTTAAAAGGAGGGAGCTGGAGGCAAACTGGGCATTCAGAGACGTCTTTAGTAGGTCTTGTTGGCATGTTACTGCATTGTCTCTGCTCATAATCATCCCAACTTCCTTTCAGTTTACTTTCAGTGAAACTTGGCCAAATTTCTCATGATGCATCTGGATCAAGATACCGAAACCCTAAATATCCAACTCAATATTTTAGCAATCTGGTAACACTGATTTTAATTTTTTTTTTAATACCAAGTTTGGACATTTGGTCAGTTTTATTGTAAGTCACACAGAAATTTGTGGACAGCTGTTTAATGAAAGAAAGGAAGATGATGGTGCCTCAAGAAAAATGCATTCTTCAAGAGGGTTGTGTTTTACATTCAAAATAAAAAGAACAACTGAACAAGTGTTCTACATTATTAAAGCAAGATTTGATTAATTTAATATCTAAATAGAAACAACATGCACAGGACTTCCCAGCTCCTCTTTCAACTCTACAGCCCTTTTAAAAACGAATAAACAAGCAAACAAAAATCCACATGCATTTACTGGTATCTAGAATCTCATCAAATGCTATTTTGGGCCACACTATACTCTCCCTTGATCCTTCCACATAACCTCTTATTGACGTCAGTGGAAGCAACATGTGCTGATCTAGGACACGATAGTGACCCTCTCAGATTTGGAGTTTTCCATGTGGAAAATGGGTAACATAAACTGGGTGACAAACTGCCAAGCAGGCAATGGTTAGAGTTATCAAGTTTTAAACAAATCCAAGACCATTTAAGGAGATGGAATGGATGCAACTAAGTGTCAGTTGTTCATGAACAACACATTCAGTACTCATGCAAACAACCTAGTGCCATTGAGACAATTGTTCAACTAGTGTAACATAGGATTACCAACTTTCAGGTGCGGTCTGTAGTTCTCACAGAATTACAACTCACCTCCAATCTACAAAAATCAGTTTCCCTGGAAGAAATGGCAAATTTGGATGGTGGATGCTATAGTATACCACAGAGTCCATGAGGAAGTCCCTCTCCAGGCACCAATTCCAAATCTCCAAGAGTTTTCCAAGCAAAGAGCTACTAGGGTTGCCAGCCTCCAGGTGAGTCTTGCAGATCTCCTGGAATTACAACTGATTTTTAGACTACAGAGATCAGTTCTCCCGGGCAACATGGCTACTTTGCAGAGTGACCTCTATGGAATTACACCCAGCTGAGGTCATCGACATGCTGACATCAGCACATCAGCCCACCTCCAGAACACCCCCCCAAATCCCCCCACTGGCATGACAAAGGGACCTGGCAACCGTAATTTGTAGCCCTCCTTGCTGGGCCTGTGACTTTATAGGGTCCCAGCTTGGAGGAAGGGAGGCCACTCCACCTACTGCATACCTGCCCCCATCCCACCTTTATTTCTGGTTGGGCTGCCAGCAGTGCAGAAATGATGCATGGCTCCCACAGCCCCTCTTCCTAGTGTTCCCAATGGGAGTCAGGGAGGGCTGGGGGTGCCATCAGCGCAATGGCATTACATCATTTTCAGGGAAAACCTGGAAGTTATGTCACAATGGTCTAGGAATCACCAGAAACTCTATGGTGATTACTAAAGTGGAATGACATCACTTCTGGGTTTTCCCCATGAGTGACACAATACCATTGTGCCAATGGTGGTTTTTTAATTTATTTTCTCCTACCAGTGGACAGCTACCACAGTCCTCATGGCACACATGATTCTCTACTCCCCAATTCATAATAGCCCACTGAGACTCTCTGACTGGGCTAAGGTAACCCAGTGAACTTCTAGCTCCCACTAAATGGGCCTAAGAACATTATGGGTCTCATTCCATCATTTCAACCCATACTGATAGGGTTGCCAGATCTGGTTGGAAAATACCTGGAGACTTTGGGGGTGGAGCCAGGAGAGGGTAGGGTTGGGGGAGGGCAGGGGCCTCAGCATGGTGCAATGCCATAGAGTCCCCTCTTCAAAGCAGCCATTTTCTCCAGGGGAGCTGATCTCTGTCAGCTGGAGATCAGTTGTAAAAGCGGGAGATCCCCAGGCCCCACCTGGAGTCTGGCAACCCTACATATTGATCTGCACAACTTTATATCAACTTATCAAAATTATACCAATTTACATGGGAGTTACTTACTCCCATATGTTTAAAGCCAACAAATGTATGACTGCAATCAAATCGCAGAACTTGTGCCTCCTGTGTTGTGCTAGCATCAAGAGATAATCACACAGGAGCAAAGGGGTGAGTAAATGGCACTAAACTAAGAATAAGCCCCACCTATTAACATACAATGTTTTAATATGGCACAAAATGGAAAGCAAACACACTTCTTTGGTATAGGACGGAAAACAACCCATCTATGTTTGTCACAGAGCCACCATACCAAAAAGTAAACTTGTTGACAAGCTGTTTAACAGAATTGTGACCGAGAACTCTCCATACATTTATTTATTGGAAAAATGCACATGCTGCCTCTCTGTAGACCTGTGTGAAGTAGCTCACGAACTAAAAATATACTGTCAGGGATGGGGAAGCTTTATCCCTATGGGTTCTTCCTACAACACAATATTAGGAAACCTAAGGTTTTCCTCTTTTCTTCCCCACCAAGGACCTATGTGACTGACCTGCCTCACACAGCAATGTTACTATAATACCCTTGGGATCAGATCCAGCACTACTGCCATAATATAAAAAGGGGCCTCGTTGATACAGCACAACTGATTGTCCCTGTTACATGTATTTACTTTGTTTATACTCTGCCATTTTCCCCAATGGGGACTCAAAGCAGCTTACATTGTTCTCCTCTCCTCCATTTTATCCTCACAACAACCCTGTGATGTAAGTTTGGCTGAGGGTGTATGACTGGCCCAAGGTCACCAAGCAAGCTTCCATGATAGAGTGGATCTCCCAATACAATACTGTAACCACTATACCACTATACAGGGGTCATTTCCTGCGGGAACGCACAGGAGCAGAGCTCTGGCAGTAAGGAGCCCAGGGGGCAGGCACATGCAACAAGCCCCACTTCCTGCTCCCCGCAGCCCTCAGTCGGGCCACAAGGAGCAAGAAGCAGCCAGGTAAGTTGCAGAGCCCACCACCACCCCGACCCGCCTTCAGGTACAAGCTCTCCCGACGCTGGGAGGGCAGATGTGCGCCTTCCCCCCCCCCATATCTAGCTATCCAAAACAGTCCAGTGGCAGCTTTAAGACCAAGTTTTATTCAGGTACAAGCTCTCCCTCCTCTGTGAGGGCAGATCTACACGTTCCTCCCCCCCAATAGCTATGTTAAGTACGAGATGCAACACAGCTAGTGAACAGTGAATCAGCTTTATTTAATGAAGTCAGAAGAAATCAGAACGAGACAAAAACATAGAGCAACAGGCTCTCTTTTAAACAGTCCGGGCTTAGGTAGCCACGCCCGCATGTCAGCTAACAACCAATAACTATTTACAGATAAGGTCCAATCAGAGTGCTTCCCTCCAGAACATTGCACAGCTCTGATTGATCTATTTACAATCCTGGTTCAGACTCAAGCTTAACACAGTTTTCAATACATAACAAGCTAGCAATCCAAAACAGTCCAGTGGAGCCTGAGTGGTAGGTGTTGCCTTCTGACACACTTCCAGTGATGTCAGGGGGTGTGCCATATGCAAATAAGTTATGCTAATGAGCTCCTACACCTCTTTTTCTACAAAATGACCCCTGCCACTATACCTGGATGTTGCTGTGATCCCAATGGCACAATGTATTCTGTACTATTAGAGATATTCATGTCTTGAGTTGCCAGTCTCTATAAATTCTGGAAAGTTAAAGCAAACTAAATTGAGTAAAAATATCATATTTGGCTACCTTCATCATCCTTAGCTTCTTTTCCCTGAACATAGAAATAGTAATGAAATAAATACAGATGTCTGCAAGCAGCAGAATTAGACAAAACTGGAAATGGAAACAGATGACTGTCCACAAAAGGGGGGTGGGACTGCAAGGAGATACAAGAAGCACTAATTCAAGCAGACACAGTCTTGGTATCTAAATGACTGTTTAAAAAGGCATTATTAAAAAAATACCCAGTGATTATCTCAATTACTTCTATCAAAACATATTTACCTCAGGAAAGATAAGTTTGCAGATGCTCTCAGCTAAAGTGTGCAGATACACTTTGCTCCTGCTGGTTTTTCTTTGTGGAAGGTTCCCATGAGTATCTTTTTCTCTGCAGATTGGCAAGGCAGCCTTGGAGCTATTTGGCACCTCCGCGCAATCCTCTTCATGTTCATCTGGAACGCCACTTTGGGACAGTAAAGAGAAAGGACACTCACCAGTGATCTTCAGGTCTTTCAGTTTAGTACAAAACATACTGCCCAAGTCCTTCTGCACTGAAGTTGTGAGAGGTCTACTGTGTGTTGAACATGTCTGTTCTGCTAACAGTTCTTGCTAGCAGTTGCTGTGGCAAGATTATCTGTAGTAGCAAAATTGACTTCAGGAACAACTGTAGGTTTTTACCCCTGCAATAGAAGTGAAAAAGAAAAAAAAATGAAACAGAAATCGCTTTACTGCATACTTGTTTAATTTGATTTAACTTGAGGTTTATTACATTTCAAAAAAAGGAAGTGTTCTGATCCTCTGAAGCACACATAACGTCACAGCTGATCTACTTGAGCAAGAATTCTATGAGCTGTTTCAAATATACAGAGTAGAGCTGCAGAAAAATGTCATCCTTTAAAGTTATACAGGTGCTAACACATTGATAGGTTAATTTGCACAAGATAACTCACAAAAAGCATGCCTGCATCAGTTTTATGCTTCAGGCTGAGAAAGAACAGTATTCATTAAAACAGTACAGCTGCTGGGCCCTCAGGGGCTCCATGGTCACTGCCCTGGGTCCATAGTAGCTCCTGGGCTTCACTGCGGCCACCACCAGGCCCAGAGCAGCTAACTGACTCCGACGAATGAAACAGGAGGTAGGCTGCATTCTCTGCATTTGCACAGAGAATGCTCTTTTATTTTGGAGGGGAATTTAAACTGACCAATATATTTAAGTTTTCAGATTTTCTGCAAATCTGGGGGGGGGGGGGTTGGCAAGCAAATCTGTTTTGTGTCAGTGTGGCCCCAATCCACAGATTTAAATATCCACAAACTGAGGCACACTTGACTATTAGAATATAAGATCATATTGACTTATCACTGTATTCTTTCACCTCCACTGCTGAATGCATCTTACTCTAAGAGAAATCCCCTGAAGGTTAGCTGGTGAGATTTTAATTCCCTTGAAGTCACTCGTACAATGCTAATTGACTTTCAAAGACTGTAAACAGATTTCCATTTGAGTTTCTCAGAAACTGTAGTGTGTTTGTGAGTGACAGTGTGCAATCCTCACAGGGACTGTGCCAGTCTCTGTGCTGATTACTACTTGTCACAGTGGAATAGGAGGATCAGCAGAGCTGCTGATGGTTGAAAACCAGAATCAGCAGCACTGAATTGCTTGCTAAAAGGTACATCTATCCTATCCCTGTCTCTCACTTACTGAGGAAAGGCACGAAAGGATATTATTTTATATACTGGGAATAAGACTGCTACTTGTGTATCTTAAAATTATTTTGGAAACCCACAACAAAAATAGTTTTCATTTTCAGTAATATAATTAGTGTTTAGTCTTTTAGAGTCTTTCTAGTTTTTTCTCATATGATTGTTTATATTCTGAAACAAATGTGTTGCACACAGTCTAAGCACTAGCAGCTGGTGGCACACTGCACACTTATTACAGTCATCCTTGCAATCAACTCATATCAAACTTTGCATGAAACAGAGACAGGATAATAGTGATTTAAATACTTGGGTGCAAGATGAAGGCTCCAAGAGTGAATTCTTACTTGACCATTTAAATGATGACTTATTCTAATTATGATTCATTTGGGAATCTGGTATTAACAAATGATCAAAAATTCCTGGTTTATTCTCTCTGTGTTGCCTGTACTGTGGTGCCCTACTGAGGGAAAGCTTCAGTGGTATCAACTTTCTGTTATCCAGTGGTGGTACTTCACAGACAGAATCTCACTTCCCCTTTTCCTGACAACCTTTTTTTAATACAAATCAGAAGACTTCCTGATTAAACCAAAGCATGCAGGTATGCACACACACAACTTCCAAAGATCCAACAGAACACCCCTTTACCCCCCCACACACACCCCTTTCATCCTACTCATAGCAACCTTATTCCACTCCTTCTGCCACTGGAGTTTGCTTTGCACACTGACAGCAGGAAGACCAGTGTGGAGGTCAACACACCTTCCGGACCCTGCCAGAAATGGCCCAGGTGACAGCAAATATTTGAGACCTATACCTATATTACTACAGCTGCCTCTGGAACGTAAGAGGCTTGGACTCTGCCAGCATTGGTACAGGGAAGGCTCAAGGCATTTCACCATCCCAAGCACCCTTCTCCCATATGAACCCTGGCTGGTACACAATGGCCTGCAGAAGCAGCACCTCTGCAGCTGGCAGCACAGATGCAGAGGAAGAAAAGCATACCGCCCCCCCCACACACACACACACTCACCCTAGTCCTGGCTGACAAAGACAGCCTTGCACTCCAGCAGCAGTGAGGCAGCTTGGGTAGAATGAGCGGAACCAGCCTCCCATACCTGACCCACTGCAATGCTACTTTGGGTGGTGAAGCCAGCTGATATTTTTTGATTGCTGTATGTAAGGATGGAGCATGCTGGTGTTCCTTCACCTTTAAGAGCAGGAAGAAATGGTCATGGGCAAGGAGTACACTTTCATCTAGGCAGTACAAACAAAGTGGTTTTAATTATGCACTGCTCTTGTCTGTCATCCCTGTAGCAGGGACCCGGCATGAAGTGCTGGTGCAAAACAACCCAGGATTAAGCCTGGACACTGTGTTCATAAATAATGTGGAGTCACTGATAAAGCTAATTCTGGTTAATGTACCAACTTCACATCCTGGCTTTTGATCCTGGTTTGATAGACCCTCACTAACCACTAAAAACAAGAACAAAAGCCATGTGATACATTTTATCAGAATCAGTCAAAATGACAAAAAATGTGCTAATATAATGGCTTACATTCAGATAATCACTTACTGCGGTTAGCATAATTAAACCATAGTTTCCTGTTATGTCTGACTAACCCAATAACTGGATACATTGTTCTATGATCTTAAACAGTCATATTCACTCTATGACTTTTTTGTGCTGCTGAAACATTACTTTTTGGTAACTAGTTGCAAGTGGGATAGAATCAGTGTTTCCATACACCACATAATGTGGCACTATATTTCCCTTAAATACTGGCAATACCTATCTCCAAGATCCTACTTTTATATTATTTCAGAGTTAGTCCCATTCAGCAAAGGTCCTGCTTCTTGGCAATTATTCCTTTAAATGTGTTGCTTTCCAGCTAAATCACCTGCCCCATTGTGAATTAATTACTTCCTGTAATGATTCCTTGTTTTATATGTGTGTGTGACTCTTTAAAAGTTTGGTTGCATGGCTGTGTGATGGACTAGAGTGTTTGAAGAGACAAGTGTGGTGTGATTGGTGATTGACAGAGAGGGGGAGGGGTTTTAGAAAGTGTTTCTGAGTGGATGAATGGGTATGTCCAGGAGTGACAGTTAGAGGTTGGACAGTTGATAAAGACAGTTGATAAGTTAGTTCGTTCTGAGGTCTGGAGAGAGACAGTCTTGTGTGTGATACAAGAGTTAAGTTCTGTGTATGAAGAAAAGTAGAAAGTAAAGTCAAAAAGTTAAATGAAAGTCTGAGTGACAGACTGGAGTGAAATAGGAACCGTATATGACCCTGAGTAATGAGTTACAAAGTTACTTGAAAAATCCTTGGCAGAAAGGGAGCAGATCTTGTGAGACACAACGAAATTGTTAAAATTATTCACATTACTGGTTACATTGTTCTACACTTTTATTTATGAACTGTTTCAATAAATCTTCTTTTATTTAAGTCTGCCAGCTCTGAAAGAAATAATTTCTCAGGAAACACATAGACCCTCATGAGACTTAAAAACTCGACCTACCTATCCAGTGATAGCCAAAAGAAAGTATAAAGGTTTGGAAAGCCTAAAATTTCCTGGTGGCAACCTAACCTACCCAGTTGAACAAAATAAAAAGAACACTTTAAAGTGAAACCAGGCCTCCCCAGATAAGGGGACGTCACACTTCCTTTCACTAATAGTGCCAATTTAGGCTGTGATCATATGCACAATTAGATCTGACATAGGTGCGAATGCCGGGCAGATTTAAAGGGTGCGATCAGACAACAACATCTGGGAAGTGCCCCGCAGCTGTTGGCAACCCATTCTGCTGCACAGCAGAAGCAGAGTTAAAAGACAGCGGGTTGTGACAGGCTACAGACAGACTTTCCCATGACTGATTACTCCAGCACACTCTCATGGCATTGGGATAGTCTGATCAGGCCATCCCAACTCTGTGTCATTGGGTTTTTTCCCCCCTTCGCAGTATGTGCATCATCACAAACTCGCAGAGGTACGATTCATCAATCCCTCGGTTAACCGCATGGGAGGGAAACAGCACAAAAAAATCCCAACTCACCCGCAGTTGCATCTAATCATGCACTCACAGACTGCGCCCACAGCTTCAAAGGGAGGTGTCATCACGCAACTGCGGGTCAAATTCCTCCAGAGGAAATAGCCTCCCCACCCCCGTTTTTTCTGGCGCATGTGACCACAACCTTATATTAATGTTTGCTTTCTCATTATTGTGATTTCATGAATGAGAAATTAAAATAATAAAAAATTAGTGAGCAATGGCTTTTGCTGAAAAGGAAAAAGGAATAAAGTTTTCTCTCCCATCCAGGGAAAAGGGACATTAAAGATCCATTCAGGAACACCAGAGCAAGAGCACCAGGAATTCTGTATGGAGTAGCAAAAACTGTTGCATTGTCTCCATTGGGGATCTACTTTATATGTGGGGGGGTGGGACTGCAATGCATCAGACTGACAACACATCATCTGCATTCTCTGTAAAAACTGAGCGAACAATTGCCATTTATTCAAGACTAACACTGAAGCAATCTAACACAGTCTGCACATCATTTCATGGGTCATTTCACCCAAATGTATGCATTTCCTAAGATATGAAAGAACTTTCCAGCATAAGGACATTTATGTAAAGCACAGTAAAAATACAGTTACTGAAACATATAAAGTACCCTTCTGTAAAGCTGAGTTTTTGAGATGGCACAGTCTGCATATTTAAATAGTGGGGGGCGGGGTTTTTAAACACAGGAAACCAATAATTGTATCAAAATTTCTAGAATCTGGTTCTAATATTAACAAAACAGCCATCCTTCTAGGTAAAAAATAAATTTCTACTTGAGAAGTATTTATTATTTTATTTATTTATTATTTT